ATTTAAGTTTTTTTTTTTAAAGCTATACTCCAAGTTTTCAACTGTTTAGTTTTTAAAAAATATAATTTGGGTCTCTGATAACCTTAAAAGAGAGTGAGGTTCAGATAGAGATCATTTCCTGAACGTGGTTGACCTCTAACAGAACTGATTATTTTGTCACCCAAAGAGTTGTATAGGATACACAGAAATCTTGTATTTTTAGACAATGTTTACCATCCATTTAAAAACCTTTTACCACCAGAGGCAAAGCACATGAAAGTGAAAGTAAATTTGTTTCTTGTCTACTTATCCCAACTAAACTCTTATAAAATCATATGGAAAAATTAATGTATAGAAAGTAATTTCCTTGTTTTCTGATCTGTCAGCAAAAAATTACTAGTTTTCTGTAAAAACAGAAAACTCAATAATAAAGTGTCTACCTGTTAAAATTAAAATGATAATCTTGGTGTCTTTAGCACCATTAAAAAAAAAAAAAAAAAAAAAAAAAAGCTTACAAAGTCAAGACGGTTCAAAAATGTGTTTATGTTAAGAGACTAAAACTGAGTCACTGCAAAATTCCCTATGGCTTTTGGCACTGACATTAAAAGATTTTAGTCTTTTGGTCACTTGAAGCTGTTACTAAATATAACAATAAGCCTTTAAAAAGGGGGAAAAACACAGTGAGAAACTGAAGGATAGCTAAGGTAACTATATCATATACAAAATAAAGCATAGTTTGAAATAAACAGTCATTTTCTGCTAGGGATCTGAATATACAAGAACAGTTACCACCACCGCTTCCATTTTGAGGAGGATCCTCTAATCAGAAAGAGTTCCTTTACGTTACTATGAGTGGTGTTGTCTGACAGCAGCTTCAATTTCCTAGGCTAGTCTTCGATCCAAGTAAGTAAGGACTCTCACAAGGAATAATCATACATGGCGATAGCATAAAAAAGCAGGGCAGTTCTTCCACGCACAACTATTTCAAGAGAAAAACCTTCAACTTGAAAGATAACCATCAGGTTTAAGGTATTCTAGCACACTCTAAACCTTAAGCTTTGTTTTACACCATTGGTGACTAAAATTAAAAGTAAGTTTTATGGTGAAATTTTCATTTTGTTTTTGCTTGCAACTATATACACATTGAAAAACTATTCTGCATCACATGATTTTTAAACGAAATAAATATAAAAATGAACCATATAATCAATACATAACTTTAACACTCCACATTATTTAATCTTGATCACAATGATGGTAACCTTCTGGTCAACAATCTTGTGAGTTGAGGAGCTGATTCTCATTCTCATATCCGTCAGGCAGATATGCTCTCCTCAGCTGGTCTGACTTAGGTATGGAGCCTCCATTCTTCACATGGCGAGACAGGAAAGCACGGACGGCTGGGTGATCAGCCTTCTCAAGTGGGATGTTGGCTTCCAGGCACATTTTCACAAAGTCCTGGATAACACTGACTTTCTCTGTTTGTGCAGTACTGTTGCACTGAAGAGATGCAGTTAGGGGCCTTTGCTTCTTTCTCACATTCTGCTCTTCAAATTCTGCCTTCCTCTTGGTATGAGTCTTTGACTTGAGGTGGTCACTAATGGCAGACTTGCGAACATGATTCAGAACCACATTGCAAGAAGTGCAGAAGAGTTTTCCTCCATCTTCGTGAAGCTCACCTCCAAACTCAGTGACTCGATCCAGGGGAGTCACATACAATGCAGTCTTAGAACGGTTTCGAGCAGGTGGTGATGTCACTACAAATCTTTCCATTTTGACTTTGAATAAGGTTCTTTCAAGACAAGAAAAAACATATGTGTTATAACAACAGTGCATTTGGGAAGCAGTTAACAAGAAAAACAAAATTTACAATTATAGATTTCAGAAAACTTAAATTAATAGATTGTGTACCCATTACTAGTAACAACTACACCTATTCTTGGAATTTGATGAAATACAAATAAATTTAAACTATGAAAAAAGAATTACACCTATCTCAGATGTCACTATCTTCTATTTTTATTTAATTATTTATTTTTAAAAATATATTTTATTGATTTTCCACAGAGAGGAAGTGAGAGGGAAAGAAAGCTAGAAACATCGATGAGAGAGAAACATGGACCAGCTGCCTCCTGCACACCCCTTACTGGGGATGTGCCCGCAACCAATGTACATGCCCTTGACCGGAATCAAACCTGGGACCCTTCAGTCCGCAGACCTTTTTCTTCTTAGGCTTTTTCTTCTTCTTCTTTTTTTTTTTTTTTTAATAAATATATTTTGTTACTATCTGTTAGAAAAACCTAATCATAGGTCAATATTTAGGGTATTATATTAATTTCATCCAATTTAGATATGTATTTAAGTTTAAAAGAGCTTCTTTTCCTTCAACAGTTCTGGGGCAACTGATTTTAAGAACCAACCATTGGGAATTGTAAACAAAGTTTGTTCAAACAGAGGGATATAACTGGCGTAATTGTATATGAAGATAAATATAGTTTCCACAACTACGCAAAGAAAAAAAAGCAGACCAAACACAAGTAACATCAGAAATATTAAATTTTAAAGCAAAAATAGAATTCAAAGAATTAATGTATTCATTCCAAAAGATGAATAAGATATATAAAAAGTGTTTTTCTAACATTTTTACCGTTTTTCCATTAAAGACTAATATTTACATCTATTAATATTTACTTCATTTATTAGCTAGAACAAAACCAAAAAATCGTTAACACAGTGCCTAGTACATGATAGATATTCAATCACAACTTGTTGATGGAATAAGTAAATGATTACCTTTACTATTTTTTCAAATACTAATCTCAGAAGCAGCTTAATAATTTCTAAATTTATCCTAATTACAAACATTTATGATCATTGCCAAAAGCAGTGGCACTGAAAGCTTGAGACACTTAACAAATATTATTGGTGGAGACTGTTTCCTGAGGCCATATGCCTTTGGGTTAAGCTATTACATTAACCTAGATATAAGAAACTCAAATGAACTTGATAGAATTGAAGATAGAATTCTGTTCTATAGAAATATGATAGGAACTATGCTTTCTTTATAAGTGTAATCAGAAATAATAGTGTTAATCCATGCAAGAGAACTGATAGCTAAGTAATATGAAAGCTATCTCAAAATAACTTTAAATTGCCAACGTATTAGACACCTATGGACATAAACTCAGAGAAGGCCTTATGTTTCACAGAAATTCTGGAAAGCATGATAAAATTTAGGTTTTAATAGGGTTAATTCAAATTTTCTATTAAAATGTGTTTAATGTATAGCTTTCATGTGCTAAATATTGTGCTGGCTAAAGGTTTTCAATGGCAGATAAGGCCCAACAAACAGTGAGTTACCATTATACGTGTGTACTTTGTTAATGATTTATATTTTATACACCTATAGCAAATCAGTTCCAATTATTAATGGTTCTAAACCAGTTATGAAAAACATTAAATATCTGTGCCCAGTAATGCCTAAGTCTTTCTTCCAAAATTTGTTTATGTTACTGCAAAAGCAAACATCTACCCAACAGAAGATTCCTGAGTTTCAGGACCTGAAGAACAAAAGTGTTTTCAAAAGAAGGTAAAGATATTTTAAACGCGGAAGTAAGAAGAGCAGGGACTAAGCTAACAAAACAAAAGCAGCCAATCACTTACTAGAGCAAAATAAAAGTCGTTTTCAAATCTAAATGTTTACCTGATTAGTTGCCAGTTTTTTTTTTTTTGTTTTTTTTTTTCGTCTTGATACTTAGTAGTGAGGGGTCCCAGCGCAAAACCAGAGATGCATGAAATCCTGGCACTTTCCGTTGCTTCAAACCCGAGACTGCTTTCAAAATCAGTTTTTCAACAAGTGGTGGTGGGAAAATAGTTTCTGGGCTCGCACCCTGCTCTCCCTGAGAGGCTGGGAAGTCATGCCTTCACTGTAACACACCAAACGAACGGGGAGAAAAAACAGCGGTCGGGAGAAAAAGAGGGGTGGGTGGAAATGTGAGCGGGAACATCCACTGCCACCACGCAGGCATCTTTACACCCTTTCTCTTCAGGAAACTCTGCCCCACAGACCCGGTCCCGACGTTTACCGAGCCCCCTCCGCCCCCGCCGCCCGCCCGCTCCGGCGCCTCCGCGCGCCCCGGGCCCCGGTTCCGGAGGGCGAGGGCGAGGGCGAGGCGGCGCGGGGCGTCCTCGCCGTCTAGACGCCCTCCTCCCGCGCCAGCCCCGCCGCCCGGCCCCGCTAGCTGGGCAGGGCCGAGCCCCAGCGGCCGCCCGGGCCCCGCCGCCAGACAGACAGCCTAGTTGGCGGCAGTCTCCGCGGAGGAGGCGGTGGGGCCTGACGGGGCGGCCGCTGTCAGGCTTCCCGTCTCCTCCCCCTTCCATCCGCCGACAACCAGCCCCGGCTCCGCCCCCGGCTCCCCGTTCGGGAAGGCAGGCCCCGGGCCCACAGCCTGCACCAACGGCCGGGCCCGCCCTCGGCCTCCCCAGCTTCTCGTTACCGTAGGATCCGGGCGGCCTCTAGGGGAAGTGCACGAAAGCCGGCCGGAAAGAGGAGGAGGAGGAGGAAGAGAAGACGGAGCCAGGGGGTGAGGGGAGAGAAGGACTTCTCGTCGTTGCCGCCGCCGCCGCCGCCGCCGCCGTTGCCCGGTCGAGCCCCGCGGCGGCCGCCGTGTCCCCCACCGCGCCCCGTCCCCCTGCACCGCCTATGGGCAAAACTCGTAGGCGGTCCCCAGCAACCGCCGAGCAGCGGCGACCAATCGGCAGCGGACCTATCGGACAGACAGCTGCTCTGACCAATGGTAGCAGAAAGGCGGGCGTGCGCATGATTGGCGGCCAGATTTCTCCATTGAGGACTGGGGGCGTGGGTGGGCGGAGCCGGAAGTAGAGCCAGACGCGAGGCCTCCGTCCACCAGGGGCGGAGAGAAGGGGAGGGAACTAGAAGAGGAGGAGGTTAGCCGAGGCTGCTACGGCGGCGGCGGCGGCGGCGGCGCAGGGGCTGGTACGCGCTGGGCGGCGAGAGCCTCATGGCGGAGGAAGAGAGCGATCAAGAGGCCGAACGCCTCGGAGAAGAGCTCGTGGCCATTGTGGAGTCCCCGCCGGGCCCTGCGGGGCTGAGAGTTGCGGGCGACGGCAACGACGGCACCGGCGACAGCAGCTGCGGCGGCGGCGTCGTCGGGATCAGCAGCCGGGATTACTGCCGGCGCTTCTGTCAGGTGAGGCGCTCGCCGGCCGCTGGGACTTGTCACCGGGTCCTGGGCCTCCCTGCGCCTCCCGGCCTCCTGGTCCTGGGATCGGGGCTGTGCCCGTGGCTCGCTGCACCGGCCCAACAAGGAGAGTGAGGGGGAAGCTCCCCCTCCGCCTCCCCGGCTCGGGGTGGGGGGCGGGGAGGAGACGGCGTGACCCGCGGCTGAGGGGGGGGGCGGAAAAGTGAGAGTTTGTCGGGGGCGGAGGGGCCGCCGGCAGGAGCGCTCTGCGGTCCTGACATGCCTCCCCTTCCCCAGACAGACCCCTTTCTGCCCGAGGGTCCCGCCTGCTTGTGTTTCCTACCCAGTTCCTTCTCACTTCTTTCGGAATCCCTGGCAACATTTCCTGCCTTCCCTTGTCCCCCCCCCCCCCCCGGGGGGGGACCCCTTTTTCGGAGATCGGGGCTCGCCTTGTCCCCGCCGCCCCCTCTCCTGTCACCGCCACCCCTCCCCCTCTGCCGGTCCTGTCATCCCTCCCGGAGACCCACCCGGGCAGCCCTGTGGGCTGGGGCGCTCAGCCGCCCGCCGGGATTTACTTTCTGGGCGAGGAAGATGGGGTTAAGACAGTGTGATTGTCATCTTTCCTTTCCTTTCTTACCCCTTTCCTCCACCGAACTGAACAGTGGCAACAAATTATTTACTCGGTGGGCTGTCACTGTGGTGTGATGTGGTTTAAAGTGTTGGACCATAATCAAATGTGATAGCACCAAAGTATTTGTCTACTGGGATAAAGTTGTGTAATCTACGTTCACATCGCCATATACTTATAAGCATTTTGTTCTCATTCACAACAATCTTGTTTTGCAAACTGTTTTGGCAGAAAGTTTTACTCCTTTTTTTTTTCCCACCTCATTTTTTTTTTTTTTTTTAATTTGCTCATTATCTTAGATGTATACAGTTCAAATCATGGCTCCACCACTTCCTAGTTTACCTTGGACACGTTACTAATCTCTCTATTCCATACTTTCTTCTTCTAACAAATAAGGGCAGTAATTAAATGAGTAAATAGATAAAGGGTTTGGATACTTTACATATTAATTAAAGTTAGCTATTTCATTCTGCTAACAAGTAGAAAATAAAGTTAACAGGAAGTATCATATTTGCTGAAATTTTATTTTCTGCCTTTCTAAGCATTGAAAGGATAAGGATGGAATTGAAATTTTCAGGCAAGCTTTTAATGCTTTAAATTGTCTTTTGATTTTTATTTCACTCCTTATAAATAAGAAGGTGGAAACTGCCTTGGTATAAAGGGTGTGTGTGTTTTCTTTGGTATTGCTCTCTGTTTAGTGACTTTCTTGAAAATGTATTTTTCTTATTTATTTTATTTTGGTATTGGCATTCACTGGATTTAGAGGTTTGGTGTCTTTTGAGTACCTATTTTCTATATGTTTTACATTTGGAAACCATGTTATCAGTAGACTTTGTATCTACAGGAATTTTAAACTTCTGAAAATTAGGTTATGATTGATATTTTTATTATATTCATAGGCTGAAAAATCTTTCTATTTTCTGTTTTGCTTTTTAAAAAAATATATTTTTATTGATTTCAGAGAGAAAGAAGAGGAAGAGAGTGATAGAAACATCAATGATGAGAATCATTGATCAGCTGCCTCCTGCATGCCTTTCACACTAGGGAGAAACCTGCAACCTAGGCATGTGCCTGACCAGGAATCCAACGGTGACCTCCAGATTCATAGGTCAGTGCTCAACCACTGTGCAGCACCAGCTGGGCCTATTTCCCTTTTGATATCATTAATAAGCAAGTTGGTTTGGTTACCTTTAGCTTTAATTTGCTTGATCAAATAACCCTTAATTGCTGAAATTGCATTGAAATTTTATTTGAGGGTCAGAACCTTTTTGGAGAATTTCTAACTACTCTTATTATATTTCTTGAAATCAGTTTTAAGAATAGATGAATAGATTTAGCCTGTGAAATACAGTGTCTGTACAGTGAGATGAAATTATTTTAGGTACAAATGAAGTTGGCTATTTAAAAAAACTCCAATACCAACTAAATATACAAGGAAATAAAACTAAACAGGAAGAACTTAAACTTTGTTTTTTACATTGCTAAATTATGAGTTAAGTTATGCTGACATACTTTTATGCTACCAATTTTTACATGAAACCTTACATATTTTATAATATTCTAGATTAGCAATAGATCTGTTCTTAGGCTCCTGTCTTGGATCCACCCTGCAGGTGAGCTTTGTGAAGGTTTTTTTTTTTTTTTTTTTAGAATAAAAGATTACCTATGTTAAGTTTAATTTTATGCATTGATTAATAAATTCTAACAGTATAGTAGTTCTGTTTTATATGCTACCAAAGGAAGAATTGATTGTGTAATCTAAAGCCCAAAGATTGTTGTTTTTTTTCTTCTTAACATTTGGTTTCCTAATATTTACTAAGGGTAAGGTAATATTAAGTAACTTGAACTCATTAGTGAATGACTTAATTGTGAGTAATCCATAAAATGGATAATATGCACTTGAGTGGGTGACAGTTAATGAAATATATGATTTATACTCACAGTCTTCTACAATGAAAAGAAAGGCTCCAATTTATATTTCTCCTTTTAGAAAGAAATCTGAATTAAAATGTCTTGGGCAGTTAATTGTATGGGTGAAGGGGAGGTTCTGTATCTTTTACCACAGGGGAAAATAAAACAGAATACAATAGGTAATATAAGTGATAAATTATGCATCCATTCAATGCATTTGAGGATATACTTCTCTACTTAAGGAACAATACCAGAACTAGAATTATAAAATCTCAGACTAAGGGAATAAATAGTCCTTTCAGCTTAAACTGACTTGTGTGATGATGGATTTGGGAGATTGTGTTAATTTCCTAATAGTTACGTGGTGTGATTAATGTCCACTAACTGCCCCTGTCACATCCTCCCTTAACTCTTATTAGTACACTCTCAACAAATGCTTAAATTGGCTCTTAATTTATATTTAATTTACTCTGAGGATGAAAGGAAGGGGAAATTAATTTTTATTGAGGGCCTACTAAGTCATAAGGCCTTCAGATAGGTCCTGTTATGCAAGTCTCATTGTTAAACTTGTCTTCATTTCCGGTAGGTAGACCAACTGTGATTTGAATCCGATTTCAATTTCTACTGAAAGGCAGATTAGAATTACAAATAAATTGGCAAATAATTGTAAAGTGAATTGTTTATGAAAAATTGTGCAAAGGGTAAAAATATTAACTGGATGTACTAAGAATCATGGATGAAAAAGTCTAAAAGTTATACAAAGGGGAAAAATAGTAACTAGATGTACTCAGAATCATGGATGAAGAAGTAGTCTTTCATTGAGCCATAGTGTTAAAAATATTTCAAGAAACAGGCTGATTGCTCTGACTGGTTTGGCTCAGTGGATAGAGCGTCGGCCTGGCAACTGAAGGGTACCAGGTTCAATTCTGGTCAAGGGCACATACCTTAGTTTCGGGCACATCCCCAATAGGGGTGTGCAGGAGGCAGCTAATCAATGTTTCTCTCTCATCGATGTTTTTAACTCTCTACCCCTCTCCCTTCTTTGTAAACAAATTCAACAAAATATACTTTTTAAAAAACCGGCATAGTAAAACAGGACAGTATTTGAAAAAAAATCTGATTATTATTTCTCTGAGTTGTTAGTTGCTATGAACATTTCCCCTATTCAGGAAGATTATAATTCAACTTATTTTTTTGCTAGATGTATTGAAATGCTTTGATCATAAATTGATTGTAAACTAAGTAAGTATCTCAGTGCTAGAATAACTACAGTGAAGATAAATATTTCTGGAAATACTTTGATATGTTGATTAAAATACTTTAAAATTGTTTCTTACTAATAGTCATTCCATGAGGATGTCATGAGTATAAAAGGAGAGAATGACTATGAAATGTTCAGAAGTATATCTAGCATGGAGATAGGCATAATTAGAGGCTGTTAATATTTCTCATGTAGAATTCTTTGAAGGTTTAAGAGGGACATTAGAGATAATCCAATCTGAAAGTTACTTATACCCTGTTTCCCCAAAAATAAGACAGTGTCTTATATTAATTTTTGCTCCCAAAGATGCCTTAGGTCTTATTTTCAGGGGATGCCTTATTTTTCCATGAAGAAGAATACGGTACACATTTATTGTTAAATGAAAATAAAGGAAATTTATTACCTGTATACGGTACGGTAGTACGGTAGTTGTCAACACAAACCAGACAAACTGTGAATCCTACAGTATCAAGAATTTACTCATTTATTCAACGACAATCATGTCATCATCATCTGGAACATCATCATAACAATCCAATTTCTGAATTTCCTGGTGAATTTCTTGTAACTCCATTTCTTTCAGAATCAGTGGACCAAATCTCTCATGTTTAGCAATAGCTCTGTCTTTAAATGAGTACTTCTTGTCAAGGTAGCCTGCTCGCAGTGCATTTGCAATGCAACTTTCAGTGATTTTCTCCCATGACTTCTTCACCCAAGTCACAGCTTCTTGCAGTTTAGGTTTCACAAAGTTTCCACGCTGATTTCTCTCCATTCTATTTTCAATGTAGTCATTAATTTCCATGCGCAAATTGTCTTTGAATGGCTTGTTTATTGCAATATCAAGAGTTTGGAGATAGGCTATCATTCCTGCAGGAATCATTATCTGATCTATTTTTCTTTCCTGAAGAAATGTCTTCATGTCTTTAGTGCAGTGAGTGCTCGCTGCATCCCAGACTAGCAGACCTCTTTGGCTCCCTCGCATAACAAGCTACAGCATTAAATTGACCCACTTCCTTATAACTGCTTGTGTGGCCCAGGCTTTTTCAGTTTTAAGAATAAAAACGCCCAAAATACGTTCAATCTTTTCCTTCTTGCCCTTAGAAATGATTAAAGGTGGGATTTTAGTGCCATCCAGACGAATTGCCAAAATACAGGAAACACGTGCACTTTTGCAAGCAGTGGAGGGAATGTACACTAAGGAGGCACCCC